ATACATTAATTAATTTTTTGTTTTAAAAAGTGAAAAAAATAATAGGAGTAAATTAGTTTTTCGCTATTTGATAGGATAAACAAATTGTGATTGTTTTTATCTGTTTTTAAATTTCAACTGTTGAGAATTTAAATTTAGACATAAAGTAGCTGCCGGCTAAAAAATAATAAAGCAATCTGTAATTAATTCCGAATTAAAATTTCTTATTGCGCGCACTGTCACAACACCGAAAATTCCTCATTTTTTCCCACTGTGCATTTTTCTCTTTCAATCAATTATTCAACAAATATAAAAAGTGAAATTAGAGCTGCAGGCCAGCCGCACCAATTGCGCTAAATTCAAAACATTGTTCCCATTTAATTTTTTTTTGACAAATTGTCAATCAATCACTGATTATTATATAAAACGATTGCTCTTAAAAGCACATCAACTATTTAAATTGACATTTTATCACAATTAAATTATTAAATTATTTTCATAATAATGAGTAGAAAAGGAATTAATTAATTCAGTAAAGTATCTCAGTTGCGCTCTTGACCAATCGTTCCTTTCTCGAATCGGAAAATTATATAACCATATTATCACTCTGGACAATAATTCGTATATAAGTGGGACCCAAAAACGACCAAAGACAGAACAAGTTGAACCATTCAACCAAAACAACAAAATGTTCGCTAAAGTAGGACCAAATAATTACAATTTAACTCAATTACAAGCTTTATTTTTAGGTTTTGTGTGCCTGTTTATTGGTGGTGGTTTCAGCCGCCCCTCAGGATTACCACCACGGCCATGCCTCCTCCTACTCTTCCCTCACCCAACACCACACCCATGGACACACCGCCCCCGTCCTTGCCCTCCACGCCGCCCCCGTAGTTCACGCTGCTCCAGTTGTGCACGCCGCCCCCTTACTTCACGCCACCCCCGTGGTTCACGCTGCTCCCATCCATCATGAAGAACATCATTATGTGAGTACCAAAAAATTTTATAATTTCTTTTTTAATTTTTAATTTAGTCCCACCCTAAATACGAGTTCAAATATGGTGTTGAGGACCACCACACTGGGGATATTAAACAACAACATGAAACTCGCGATGGGGATGTTGTCAAGGGTGAATACTCCCTCCATGAACCCGATGGTACTATCTTGACCGTTCACTACACCGCTGACCATCACAATGGGTTCAATGCCGTTGTTGAAAGGAAAGGACATGCCGCTCATCCTCAACATGTTAAAGTTGTTGCTCCTGTTCATCATTATTAATCAATGAAAGATGTATTTATTGTTTTAAATAAATAAAGTTTATTTTTGTACTATTTCTGAATTTTATTCACAAATATCTTAACCTAAAAAGTAAATTGAATTTGTAATTACATATTTTTATTTCAATTTTCAATTATTTTTGACATAATAAATAGTTTTCTGCCATCTTTTCATTTTTTTGTGCTCTTTTTTAAAATCTTTTCATGTATACGCCATATCCTATTCAATTTAAAATTAAAATTAAAACATGATAAATCAGACTTAACCTTAAAATCACTATTTTGGAGAAATTTTAATGATTGCCAAGATAAATCAAGTGGCTGGTTATTTAAAATTAAGACAAATCTTAGATAAAACCTACATTATTATTTTAAAAACTAACAAGTTTTGATATACAAAGTATAAAAACGCATATTTAAGACATAAAAAATTCGCATAGTACGATAAAAAGATATACAGGCATGGGCGCCCGCAAAAATTATGGTCAGGGGGAGGCAAAAAAAAAGAGTCGAAATTAATAATAACAGTTTCATTCGTCTGTTTTCATCACTCACTTCGTGATAAAAATGTAAATAGTAGTTTCATAAAAATTTAAGTTGGAATCTGTTTGTAAAAAATTAAAAAAATCTTTTTTATATACAGTATGTCCCCAGATTGAGTTTACAAGAGGAAAAAAAATATCTTTGATTTTACGCCAAAACTGCAAAAAAAAAGTTTTTACTTTACTTGAAACCAGCAAATCTGTAATTAAAACTTCATTATTCTAATTCAGTAGAAAAAGAAGTTCCTTTTTCTCTTGATTTTAAAGTCTTATCACATTGGCGGTTTAAATTATTTGACAACTATATGTCACTTTGACAAATAATTTATTAATTAAATAAATATAGTTCTTGTTAAAACTGACTTTGGTTTTTACCTTAAAGCTGTTTCTTTGAGTTGCTGTTTATTAAAATTATGTTTTTCACGAACATTTTTGTTATTTAACTTGCGAAAACTCATTTGTCAAAGCGACATCGTTGTCAAAAAAATAAAACCGCCAATATGATAGGATTTAAAAAGCAGACAAAAATTATTCCAAAATTAGTCCAAAATCAAGAGAAAAATGAACTTTTCTCTCTACTGAGTTAGAATAATGAAGTTCTAATCACAGATTTGCTGGTTTCAAGTAAAGCAAAAACTTTTCCTTTGAAGTTATAGTGTAAAATCAAAGATAAAAATTTGTTCCACTTGTAAACTCAATCCGGGGATATACTGTATAAAATAGCAACCACTAGCATCCCAGGGGGGGGGTTACTGCCCCCACTAGCCCCCCCCTGTGGGCGCTCATGTATACAGAAGGCGCCAGAACTCGCGCCCCAGAAAAAAATTTCAAGTATAAGATAAGATACCAGAAACATGGAAAAAATGTTAAAAACATTCTGTCGAAATTACGAAAGTTTAAATTTTGCACTTTGACTCTATTTATTTCTGTTGGAAACATACTTTTTTAAGTTTTTTTGCTACAGGCTATTAGAAGCGGAAACAAGGAAGCTGCATCTTAAATTGCAACTCTGTTTAATATTATTAGTAGTGGGCCCCTAAGGGACACAGCCACTTTTTAAGAAAAAATACCCGATTTTCAAGGGTTAACAGAAAAGCACAAAAAAATCGTGAAAACACCCACAATTTTAAGGTATATTTTAAATTTAACATTTTTCAAAGATTTTGCCCTGTTTTTCTATTGGGGCTAATTCAGCACACCTATGAATACGATTTCGGCCTAACAAATTCGGCCAAGAAAATTCGGTGCCCCAAACGGAACCGCTAAAATCTGTTCTTTTTTGGTTGTTTATTTTTAATTGCTTAACATTTTTTTATTGTTCCAACGGATAGAAATTCTGCAATGTTGGAATATAAGTTTATAAAAGCAACAGCAATCGACAAAGCAAAAAAATATAATAAATACAGAACTATACGTTGTTCGACATTTTTTTTTTACAAAACTTAATTTTTTTCTGAAATTTAATGTTATTTTTTGCTTACAAATTTTTTTAAATAAAGTTCAACATATCTGTAGCAAATTTTTTTACCTTTTGTTATATGTTGATTAAAAGTTGGGCGCAAGACCGATAATTATGAAAATTTGCATAAATCCACCCAATTCTTTCATAATTGGGAACTGAAAAGTTCCATTCTTACAGTAAAAATTCCAAAAATCCACTTAATTAATGGTAAAAGTGAAATTTCCAAGTGTAGGTGCCCCCGAATTGTCCCAATGGGGTCACCCGAGTATCAACATTCGTTTTTTCAGCACACATTAATCAATCATATTATGTAAAATAATTTCAGGAACGCACGCGTGTCTTATGTCGGAACAAATCCGCCTTGTCACATTAATTACATAATTGTCTTCGCGAAACTGTGAACGTATTTTTTCCCTCAAGTATATAAACCCGAACCGATATTGTCCAATCAGTTCGAATTGAAGCATTCAAGCGAAACAAACACAATGTACACCAAGGTATAATTTAATTAAAAAAATAATTAGAATAATTAGTTAATTACATTGTTTTTATTACAGATCGTGAGTTTTGCTGCAATGGTGGCTTTTGTGAGCGCCGCCCCCCAGTACCACCACGGCCCAACCGCCTCCTACACCGTTAAACAACAACACACCTATCACCACACCCCCGTTGTTGCCGTGCATGCCGCCCCCGTCCACGTCCCTGTCGTCCACGCCGCCCCCGTAATCCACGCCGCCCCCGTAGTCCACGCCGTCCCTGTCGTCCACGCCGCTCCCATCCATCATGAAGAACATCATTATGTAAGTACCAAAAAAATTCGTAGTTTTTTTTAAACTTGAAAAAATTAAGGCCCATCCGAAATACGAGTTCAAATATGGTGTTGAGGACCACCACACTGGGGATATCAAACAACAACATGAAACTCGTGATGGGGATGTTGTCAAGGGTGAATACTCCCTCCATGAACCCGATGGTACCATTTTGACCGTCCACTACACTGCCGATAAGCATAATGGGTTCAATGCTGTTGTTGAGAGGAAAGGTCATGCTGCCCATCCTCAACATGTTGCCAAAGCTCTAGTCGCCCTCCCCATTCATCATTAAAAAATGAAAAATCATCCCATCTGCCATCCGATCATCTGTTTTGTTGACACTGTTTATAGTTTACATTTTGTATATTTTTATTTTAATAAAATAATTAAATAAAAAATATAACTTTGTTTTCATTTTAAACAAAAAGTATTTATGAAAAAAAATTGAAATACTCTTTTCTATTTTCTAAAATAGGTTGCAAACAAT